GACAAAACATCTACAAGTCATAAACTCAATCCCCTAACAGCGATACCACTATAGTTGTCAATAGATGAGACTTACTAAGTCAAATATAGGAATGATAACCGATCCAGCTTCTCAAATAACCTATTAGCCTACGGGTTTGGAAGAATAAAAAAGAGCAGGTCAAAAATGAACGGCGAAGCATAGTATACAGGATATACAGGTAACTTTAAATCAAAAAATGTAATAGCGGATGCATAGGTTCAGCAAAACATACATGCAACAAAAGAATAATGAACTCCATTTCCCGGATGCCAGGGTTCCAATAAAGTTGTGGTGGGCTCAAGACCAGACGTTGAGGGACTACGGGAGGAGATACCGCGCTCCGCGGTAGGAGGAGTAACTAGTTAATTACTACGTCATTCTTACGATATCACAGACAGCTGACAAAAAAGGCCGCACACGCAAAACATGCTCAGCACCACAAATCACCACCAAAGAGGGCACACAAGTTAGAAATTCTCCCCAAAAAGAAGCTATCCAATTCTCCGACATTTTTCCTTCTAGTCTGACAATTCGTTAAGCGGATGGGGTTAATGGATTGCAGTGATATGAGTGATATGGTGGTGTTGCTTGCTCTCTACAGCAGCTTTTTTTTTCGTTGCCTTCGGCCCAGGAGAGATCGACCGCGGGGCGGCCGATAGGTGGTCTAGAACACCCCGCCTCTCGTCGACAGGGAACCGGCAGGTCCACTCTGTTTACAACCTGCGTGGGCCAATTGGGAGCTTCCGTTAGACAGATTAACCACGCGAGATTCACGGAAGACCATGGCGCTAAGCAAGCTTCCATCTGCAGTCCATCACTAGTCACAGCAGCAAAGTAACCCCAAAATTCAGGATTCCAATTGTAAATAAACTAGGCACCTCATGGCCAGCCATTCGTACCTTTTTCTATCGTATCTAAGGTACCTTGTTTAACTCACCCAAGTTGCTAAGAAAGAGTGGCAGGTAGAAAGAAATGGGATAATTCATCGCATAGGCAACATGGATTCCCCGGGCTTCTGCCGCATCTTATCGAGATCGTGGGGGGAGATCGCGATTAGGTTGTCAGGGCAGGGAAGGAGCAAGCTTCCACTTGCCATATGCAAATAAACGACACGGTGAATCAGCCGCTTACCACCGGGAGCTTCCAAAATCCCCAAAATTGCTACTTAAAAGCCACCAGGTAACTGCTCCCCCCCTCTCTTCTCATTCTTCTGTAACTCTTGTATCTTTCTGTCCAATTGTCAGACAGACACACACTTCACTTCCCATTTCCTAGCTCTGTCCAACTCACTGTCTGACACACTCTTCCCTTCCCTTTTCTTAGCTCTGTCCAAGTGTCGGGCACATCCTTCATTTCCCTTTTGTTAGGTCTGTCATATCGGCGGACACACCTTTTACTTCCTTTTCCTTTTTATTAGTCCGGTCAGAAGATCAGGAGAGATGGAAGCACAATCTCCTCTTCGGACAAACTCCCGGTCCCGCGCCGCGGCCGCGGCCCAAACAAACCGTCGCTCGCTTCCATCCAACGCCAGTAAACCGGCAAGGAAAGCGGTAAATAAAGTGACAAAGCCAGAGGATAAAGCACCAAACAAGGTATGAACACACCCCGTCTCCCGTTCCATCACCGGCCTCTCCTGACAGTCTCTCCCGGTACAGAATACGGAACGGGCGTTTGTCGGCGCCTCGCGTCGGGTCGATCGGGACGCGCAGGACCGCCTGGGGTCCGCGCTGAAAGCGTCCGAGACGCACTACCAGCTGACCGGGAGACGTTTCCGGATAACGCTGGAGGCCGTCTTGGGCGACGAGCAGTACGAGAGCGAGGACGACGCTCGCGTACCCCGTCGCGCCACCCTGCCCGCCATCGCTGGGGACGCCCACTTCGCGAAGGTGGAGGTCGCCTTCGACCAGTCATTTCCCGGCTACCGGGAGTACACATGCAGGCGTCGTGCCCTCTCAGACACGACCAACCTGCACTCCCAGGCTGGCCTCGCCCTCCCGCCACCCCCGCCCGCCCCAGCCGTGTCGGCCGCCCCCTCCATGTCGGGCATCTCGCCTCTGTCGGGTGGGCCCCCCATGCGCGGCCTCCCCCACCGTCCCCACGCCCTCCCCCACCCCCATTCCAGTAACCTGAACATCCCCCGGGGACTTCTCACCCACCCTAACGTTCATTCACGTACCCCTTCACACTATCCTCGCCCCGGCGTGCCCCCAGACACCTGCCGTCTAACCCACCAACCCAGTTCAAGTCACCCTTCGTCGACGCGGGCGGCGCGGCTGGGTACAGGGTCACAACCCGTAGACAGAGTCGGTGTCGGAGTCGTGGCTGGGCAAGGGGGGTTTGGGTTGGGACCAGTCGGTGTGGCTGGGGTTGATGCAGGCGTTGCTGCTGCTGGCGCGGCTGCCTTGGGGGGTGTTGCTGCCTCGGGGAGCGGCGCCGGTGCCGGGGTGGTGGGCTTTGCGGGGCTGGGTCCCGGTCCCCAAGCGCCGTTGCTTGTTGGTGATGTTTGTGTTGCCGCCGGCGGCGGTATTACTTACGGCCTTGCCAATGGTGCCGGTGCCGGTGATCAGGCGGGCCGGGCTCCCGGACCCTCGATGTCTCAGCGGGTGGTGCCGCGATCGGGGCCGGTCCCGCCGCGGGTGTCGGTGTCGCCGCGCTCGATGCCACTGCCGCCGCTGCCGGAGAACATGGTTGTTGGCACCGGTGGTTTATTCGAGGAGATGATCGATGCCGAACCTCGACTCGGCTGTGCCGGCGGTGTACGTGAATGGGGGGGTTGGCGGCCGCGTGGAAGAGCCGCCCGTGGAGCGGTGGGAGGACTGGGTGAACTTGGATGGGGAGTAATGCTTCAAGGCGAAAGATGTTTTGTGGCTTCCTGGCGTTGCCATTCTGGGGTTAATAGTTAGAGGCGTTTGTTAGAACGGAGGGGAAAAGGTTTAATACCCGGATGGTTTGCATGGTTTAGAGGAGTTCGGAGGCACTGAGCCAAAATTAGTTGGGTTTGGGCATGGCATGGTTGGGTTTGGGCTGGCGTATGTTTGGACAAGCACGTTACAGATGAACGACGCCTTGATCTGGTATTAGGATTAATTAGTTAGTTAATACTTAATGGCTTCATAATATTTCTTATTATGGATGACACCCTTGTTTGGTAATGTGCGGTTGGAGTGATCCGGACAGCAAGATTATATGTAAGGTATGTAGGTAGTCGACGATGCCATATATCAAGAGAATACTAGTCCGACTTCATATACATGATACCACCGGAAGGAAAATGATACCACCTGATGGAAAATATTACCCCCGGAGGGAAAAGCTCTTTCTGTGAGATGATACTGATAGGTAGACCCGTCAATGTGAAAAGTCAGGGCAGATTGTATTTAATAAGTTCGAGAGGGAAATGAAGAGGGAGAAGTGTTAGCTTATAACCCTCATGACTTTCACGACGTCAGCGTGAAGTTTGCGGGGTTAGCTTGTTTGAACCCCCCCCCCCCCCCCTCTATGTCTTTCTATTTTGCCCCCGCACCGGTATTCGCTGCGATTCAAACCGTCCGAGCTTGAGGCTATCCCCATCGTGATGCTATCATCATCACTGTAGGCTCTGTGACCGCCTTGACGGAGTCGGTATCCGTCATATCAGCCCACAGCTACTCCCCCACCCACAGCTCCCTCCTGGATCAGCGACTCCCTAGCTAGACACACCCCTCCCCACCCTGGACTACGGGGTTATTTAGGCCCTCAACTCCCCTCCCCTCCCCCTCCTCAGCCACTCAGACAACTAGAGACCACAAGCACGCCATCAGCGCTAACCCCCTACGCACAGTCCACCACCACGTCACCACCGCCACCAGCCTAGAGCGGCAACAATTGGAACAGAAGAATCATAGGAGAGAAGAGAAGAATCATAGGAGAGAAGAGAAGAATCATAGGAGAGAAGAGAAGAATCATAGGAGAGAAGAGAAGAATCATAGGAGAGAAGAGGGAGAGACGAAGAGCAGACGTACTACCGACTTCCCCCGCGCCCCCCCATCCCCACCACCTCCACCACCACCACTCTTACCACTCGCCACTGGTGCCGTGTTGCCTGGCTTGTCTGACGCTGGGCGTGTCACAGGAGCAGAAGCAGGAGGGTCCCGGCCGTCCCAGCTCGAGATGTCGTAGCCTGACCGGGGCATTGCGGGGGGGCGGACGGGGCGGGCAGGAGGTGGGTGTTGTGTTGGGCGGTTGATGGTTGATGGATGGATGGTCTCCTTCTTTTCTTGGGTGGAGGCGGTGGAACAAGGCTGTGGAAGAAGTGGCGTGTTGTGTGCTGGAGATAGGGAGGTTCAGAGGGTTGAGTTGAGTGAGGATCGGGAGGCGAGGTTGGGTGTTTGTTGTTGGTGGTGGTGATGGATGGGCTCGGTGGTTCGTTTGTGTGATATCTCGATCCAGATGGGCGGTCGTGTGGTATCATCCCCTTCTGAGGGGTATATGCCTCTTATACACCCTCTACAATGACCAGGCTCAAAGAACAACCCCCATTACCAACAAAGCCCTCCTCTTATAGGGAGCCTCAGCTTTCTGCTTCAGTTGATGTGAACTGATAGACCCAACAGCCCACGTGCCAGAGCATGACTCGCTTGTAAGCTCTAGGATATGCGATATGCAGGCGGGACGCATCATGGCTTGAGTGTAAGAGTCAACAAAGTCCGCGGGCGTGATTGCTACAAACAACCCACAAGGTATATACGTCCTGGCCGGAAGCTCAAAGGAGGGTAAAGGGGCTGGTTGCATCACGCGACGCTTGGCCGGCGGATGTCTCCCTGCATCGAAGCCTGCATAGAAGACCACGCCCCGGATTGCAATATACGACGACATTTCTGGAACATGTAAGTGTCGACGAGAGGCGTGGTTTATGAAAGAACCAACAAAGTCCGCGGGCGAGAATGCTACAAGACAACCTACAGGGCACCTGCATCCTAGTTGGAAGCTCAAAGGGGAGCAAATGAGCAGGCTGTATCACACTGCACCTGGCCGGCGGATATCTCCTTGCATCCAAGCTCGCACAGAAGGCTATCTCCCAGATTGCAATGCACGACGACATTTTCCGGAGCATGTAAATGTCAATGACAAGTGTTGTTTATGTTCTGTCTCCCCTTTCGGGCGCTCTCTGGGTATCATGCCCTCTCCTACTAACAGCTGCAGCCTCCGGTCGAAGACTGCTAAGCGGACTCTTCCACCTCGACAGTTGCCTTTTTCTTGTCCTTCTTTTTCTTCTTCTCTTTTGTCACCTCTTCGCCACCATCGCCCTTTACCTTCTTTTCTTTATTCTCCTTCTTGTCCTTTTTCTCTTTCTTTTCCTTTCTCTCCTTTTTGGCTTTCTTCTCTTGTATGTCGTCCACCGTCGACTCTACAGGGGGTTCGACCTCACCCACGTGATCAGCTTCAACACCCACCCCATTCTCAACATCCATCACATCTTCCTCAACCACCTCTTCCTCCTCCTCAACCTCCCACTTCGTACTCCCCGCCCCCGACGCCGCTTTCTTCTCCTCCCCCTCATTCTTCAACTTGGGCATCGCCGCGACCCGCGCTCCCTCGGGATCCGTCTCCTTTGCCCACCTCACCCAGTCATGCCGTCGGTGGCTCCACAAGTCTCCTCTCCACGTGCGCCACACGTTCCTCCCGAGCCATGTCTCGCGTAGCTCGTGCTCGTGGCGCTCTAGCTGGGCCATGATGTTCTCCTTCAAGTGGAACGGCACAACCGCCGTCGTGGCCCCCCCCTTGGACGGGACCGAGATGATCTCGTTGACGAGGGCGTTGCCGTGCTGGGAGGTAGCGATGGCGTAGATGTTGGGGAGTAGCCCCGCGACGAGGAGCTTGTGGAAGTGCGGGATTTGAGGGGGGGTGGGCGAGCGCTTTTGTGAGGATGGCTGCGGTCGCGGACGAGGCTGTGACCATGCGGAGGAGCTGGGGTGACGAGAGGGATAGGAGGGATTGCTGGATTGCTTTCGTGGGCTGGCCGGGGATGGTGAGTAGGGTAGAGACGACTTGGCTGCCGTGGGATAGGAGGGCGCTTTTGCTTTTGGCCTCGGGCGTTTGGAATTTCTTTTCTTTGGATTCGGGCTCCGGCTCGGGTTCGGCGAGGAGGCAGAGCTTGGGGACGATGTGTTTCCAGTTGCCGCCGCATGCCGTCGTGAGGGCCTGGAGAAGAGTGCCAAGCTCGGCGGTGGCGTGACGAACATTGCAACGCTCGAAAAGGGTCTTGATGACATTGAGCCGCCCTTTCTCGACAAAGGACGGGATCTCGGTGAGTGACTTTTGCACGGCATCTGCAAGATCTTCCTTGCTCAACCGGTTGAGGACTTTGATGGCCGGGTACGAGGCGATGTCGTTCCGGAGCAGGCTCTGGATTCTAGGCCCGAAGATGTTGGCCAGCAGGCCCTTGAAGACTTTGCCCGGGCAGTGGGCGATCAAAGTCTCGAGGAGGCGTGACCCAATCGGGTCATAAAGCATGCCGTTTACAAACTCGCAAGCCTGCGACTTGTCGTCGCTGAACGAGGCTGGGGCATCGGGGACAAGCCTGTCGAGCAGGGACACTACGCTATCCTGGCCCTCACCCTCGGCAGCCTTGCCGCCCTCTTCCTTCTTTGGCTGAGGTGCCTTTTTCGACTTTGATGACAAGGATAGCTCCAATTCTAGCAAGAGCTGTAGCGTAGGGTTACCGGTGGGGTGCTTGGCGAGCACTCGCAGCGCCGTCGAATCTAGAGTAGCCGTCGAGTCCCCGATGATTTTCTGGATCGCCGTGGAAAATGACGACGGCACCGTCCTGGCTTGAGAGTTGAGCTCGCTCGTCAAGGAAGATGCGCCTTCCACTGTGACGTACTCCTTGCTCTTGCCTTGAAGGAGTGACTTGGTCCCCGCTTGAGCCAGTGGCCTCCCTGACAACACCACCAACAGCACTCTCAGTGCATGGGACCCGTACCGATCCGATAGCAAAAAGGACAGGTGTTCTTCGAACTCGTCCAGGGTCAACATGAACAAGTCCTCCATGGACATCTTCATGGCCTCGGCAACCTCGGCCGCCACTTCTTCACCGGCCTCCCCCATCTCCACATCCTTATCTGCTTCCCCGCTCTCTGCTTCTCCGCTTAACTCGGCCGTCACGATCGGGGCGCTCATCAAAAACAGCTTCTCGCAGCAATGACTCGCAAAACGGTGAGTCACAAGCGTCATGAAGTGTCCTCCGAAGGCGCCGAACAGGCTCTTTTTCTGCTTAGCGTCGGATAGCAAGATCAGACGCTCCATCAGGCGCGAGCATGACTGGCTGCTGGCCAGCTTGAGCTCCTTGCCACGGGCCTCGCGGTAGACACTCTGCAGAAATACGTGGCGATCCTCAGCTGAGGGAAAATCGTTCAACTCGAGTAATTCGTCGGCGTGGCGGAAATATTCCTGCTCCTCCTCGGCCAGCATGCCGAAGAACTCGCGCTCAAAGTTGCCACCACGGGCACGGTGGGTCGGGGCGCCATTTTGAGGTTGCTCTTCATCATCGAAGGCGATGAAGTCAGCATTGGGGTCTAGGGTGTAGAAATCGTTGGACTGCTCGAATTGGTTACCGCCGTCGGCCGCGTCGTCCTCGTGGTGTCGCTGGCGCTTTGCGGAGCGCTCTTCGTCGTCGGCGAGATCGCGGTCGCGCTTCTTGGCGCGCTTCTCGTCGCGGATCAGCTGCCTCTTGGATTTCCTATTCTTTCCCATGGTGTAATTTGTCGGTGGATTGTTTCTTCAGGTCGACAACCAGGTTGCAAAGAAAGTGCTGCACCGTAAAAAAGTGTCGGAGGAAAATGTTTATCTTATCAAAGAGTTGCATGCTTAACCCCAACCCTGGTTTGACTGAGTGGCGAGCGCTCAACGCGCCAGTCTCCCACCACACCAAAACACAATCCACAAGCACATCATCATTTTGGGGATTTGAGGACCGTGATGGTTTTCTTCTCTAGGTATGTTGTGACATGAGCAGACTTCAGAGATAGGTCGAAGTGGAACAAGCGATGGAGCAGCTCACCCGTCTTCCTGCATGGAACTGCGGATCGATTCCCTCTCCACCATTATCATTCATCGAACATCATTCTTCGACACTGTCTTCAGAAATGATGTCTAATTGGAGAGCACACGATCGCGTGTCACCGGTGCGGCGTGCCCAACCATGGACTCGGCCTTGGCTTCATGTCCGAGCACGGCAAACCGGAATGGCAAGCAAGTGTGATTTGCTACGATCGCGGCTGCCGCAATGCTGCATTGCCGCTGGCATTGCGCGCCGTTGGTTTAGCCAACGGTTGCATTTAGCGTCCCGGGAGCGACCCTCACTCAGCCCTGTAGGTGCGCCCAGCCACCAATCGTAACCATTCCAGGCAACAGGATGCTGTCTCGAAGACGCCAAGCCTCCTCAGCCATCCTGCTGACACTCGAGGCCCGCATGTGAGCAGGGTCAACAGACTCGGTGTGGCTACCTACTAACTGGAAACCTGGAAACTCGAAACTTTAAATAACAGTTGCCCCAGCCGTTAATCGCCCGTTGCGGGCCGGGGCGAGGGAACATTAGGAAGCTCGAAAACTAGATCCCTTTTCGGGGGTCAACTTCATCGCCATGGCACAGGCTGCACAACCCCCACCACCGCCGACAAGGCCAGATACAACCAACCCAAACAACAACACCAACGGCGCAGACAACAACATCCGCTTCTTTGGGTCTCAGATAGGGGGCCGATCCGTCATCAACTATGGCTACACCGACATGCCGTGGAAGCTCATGGCCTGGGATATCTACAACTTCTTCAAGTTCTTCTGGGCCATCCCCTACATCCTGTGGCCTCTTTCGCCTGCCGACTCGGCCGAGTTGAGTGAGCTCTCGTGTACCTGGGGAAATGCTTGGGCTATTGTTGTCACGTTGTGCTGTGCGTGGTGCAGCTGGCTGGCCTCGTAGCACTCCCGGCCTTGGTTGTGCTTCCGGTCTGGACCGCCATTCTCTTCATCACCCTCTTCTTCCTGGTCAACAGAATTCTATACTCGCTGCTCAACGGCGAGGGGGTTGAGTACCACTCGGATCCCAAGTACGCGCCAGAACTACCTGAGCATGCCCATGAGCAGTGGATTTACATCAACGGAGTGGCCGCAGGGTATGTTGCTAGAATGCCGCAATGGAATTTCGACTGACCCGGCCTAGGTCACATTGGATGCAGAGCAACCTCGACCGTCTGGCTGTTACCTTCAAGCGGCCGATTCTTGGTATTCACAACAAGACGTAAGGCATCCACTTTGATCCAGCCATCCAATGCCCATACTTACTGCATCCAATCCAGCTCTGGCATTCTGTTCGACGTTGTCGAGTGTCTTATCCAGCGCAACTGGGGCTACGCTACCAAAGATGTGCGCGTCTGCTACCAGATTATCAAGCAGAAGCTCTACAGCTCGCAGTACTCCAAAGTCATATTTGTGCTTCATTCGCAGGCCGGGATTGAAGGGCAGCCTGATCCTGGACTGGCTGCTCCAGGAACTCCCACAGACCTTCTCTCCCAAACAGGAAGTCTACACCTTCGGCAACGACCGCCAACCACTTCAACAACCCGCACCGCCATATCCCGCATACAGAACCTCGCTAGGCGCAATCCCTCTCGCGGCGTGTATCGATTCTATCAGACTGGCGCACGACGACCGAAAAGGCTCCCAATCCCCCGCCCTCCGCCTGCCCCAACCCAAGAAACCAACTCAACTTCCGACTCCAGCTCACAGCTCCAGGTTCTTCCGACGCAAAGCCTTTCGAGTAACACCTAACCATCAGCTATCACAACATCCTGAATCCCAACACCACCCAACCAAAACAAATAGCATCCCCCCAAAAAACTTTCTTAACGGGTTCACAAACACCACCTACCCTCCCCCAACAGCCCTCACTCACCGGCTCCACCACCTCCCCACACCCATCGCACCTCTCGGACCGCGCGATCGGGCACATCGAGCACTACGCGCACACGACCGACTTCGTGGCGCTGTGGGGGTGCTGCACTTCGCGACGTCGGCGCCCCTCGTCGCAGTGATCCCGCGCTTCATCGGGCCGGCGT